AGAGAGGCGCTTTAACAGAGCTGCTCAAGGGAGACTCATCCATCAACCTGCAACCAACCAAAGAGCACCGGGCCACCGCTGGCAGTGATGGAGAGCTCGCTGACTGACTCAATGGAGGTGTGTGTAAGTGTCTGTCTGCACATGCGCGTGCATGCAGGAATACGCAGATGCAACAGATATACACTATAAGAGAAGATAACCACGTTATCCCCTGCTTTAACCGAGACTTTAAAATGAGTTATGTTTGACAGTGCGGATATCTGATATCTGACAAGTCCGGTAACACAGTTATTTGACATCAGATGAGGCCTTCAGGAACACGGCAGCAGCAAAGAGCATGGCTCATGAAATTTAGTGTCAGTATCACTGTCTTATCACTGACAGAAAGTTATCAGTCATCACTTAATGCAGATAGGTGTCCATTGTTGTCTCTTCTCAGGTGCACATTACTCCTAGGATGCCAACTATCATTGATTTTTTCATTCTGTGTCTTTATAGGCGAATCAGCACCAGTAAAGTTACTAAATACTAAGCACAAATATACTAGAGTAGAATCTGGAAAAATCTGCATGTGCAGAGTTTACCTTGTTTGAACTTTATTTTTTAACTTAAAGAAAAGCATTTTCAGTGGGGACAAAGAAAAATAAAGAGACTGTGTGAACAATAGATCCTGAGAACAGATCATAGCAAGATTATCTCTTTCCTTAGCCACTGGGAGAATGGACAGAAATATGAAAAGCGAGAAAACCCAGAGCGAAAGAGACAAGAGAGAAATGAAATGAATGAACAACTGATAAGGATCAAATGATTTACTGGGTTCAAAATAAGCGATGGGGTAGAGGGTGTGTGTGTGTGTGTGTGTGTGTGTGTGTGGGTGTGTGTGTGTGTGTGTGTGTGTATCTTCCTGTTTCTTTATCAGGGCCGACAGCAGGCCTATGAGGTCAGTACCTAATCACAGTGGAGGTTAGATTTCTATCTTACTACCCCCCCTTCTCTATCGTCCTATCTCACTACTGTCCTCTCTCTCAGCTACTGTCTGAGATACTTTGAGGGGCTAAGGATTCAGATAATATTAGTGAAATGTTTCCACATATGAACACACACCATACAATGGAAAGTATTAGGATTTCGTTGGCTAAAGTAAGTAGGCATTGGAAGGTTTAGCAAGGGCAGCAGTGGGTGTTACCTTTCTAATCAAGCATGGCATTGACTTTATGTTTATTTGGTGCTTATTTATTGTTTACTTAGTCACATTACCTCTCCGCTGTGTCCCTGCAGCGACACAGCCATAATTCACTCACATAATTAAATATCTGGCTGAAAACTCAAAAGCCTGATTTTCTCCAATTGAATTCCCAATTCCTCACAGATACGCTGCATCAGCTTACAGACTCACTGAGACTCTGGGTTGGATGACGTTTGGTGAGTGAATGTAGAGAAAGCGGATGGAAAAGGAAGTGGGAAGAAATTGCAGGAGGAGGATAAAAAAAAAGAAAAGAAGAGAAGTTGAGAGGAGGAATAGGAATTCAGAGAAGATACAGAGAGAGGAGCAGAAAGTAAATTAGAGAGAGAGAATTAGATCAGAGAGAGAGCTGAAAGATGTAGATTTTTGTGCCAGGACAACATTTGGCCAACTCTCTCCTCCTGGGCACTGTCCAGGCACTTAGAGATGGGTGACACACACTGGCATCTGTCTGTTTGTGTGTCAGTGCTGCATCATGTGTGTGTGTGTGTGTGTGTGTGTGTGTGTGTGTGTGTGTGTGTGTGTATGTGTGGTCACTGGAGTTTAGAGATTACAGCAAGAGGTGAGGCCAAACTGACAACAGCTGTTCTGTTGACATACAAACCACATGACATTGATTTATTTTTGATTTCAGCTTAATACCCTTTCCTAACCCCGTAACGTACAGACACAGACACACACACACACACACACACGCTCGGTTATAAGTCACTATGATTGATATAAAAGCTGTCATTCTCTGTCCCTTGCTGTCAGGCTTCTCTTATCTCCATGGTGACACAGTGACAGGACTCCATCTATCCCAAACACTCTGACACACACACACACAAACACACACACACACACACACACACGCATATGCACATAAATACACATGTAAACGCATGCGCATACATGAGGCCTGCATGTACGAATATAGCACATGTCAATTATTTTTGTTTGTTGCAATTTATTACCTCCATTCATCTCCTTGTGACTTCATCTTATCTTTGAGGATGCTGAAGGGACCCTGTTTCTCCACATGGATCATTTAACTTTCGTTTGAAATCTTACACACCCACCCACACACACACACACACACACACACAGAACTTGAAGGCCTCTGGTGTTTGAACTGAATTCAACCAAGGTTTCTCCTGACCCACTGATGGCCAGTCCACATCTGTCGCACAGAGTTTGGGACCAGAGATTTTGAAAGGGGAGGATTTAATAGGTGTTACAGCTGGAGAGATAGACTGGAATGACATAAAGCTGCCCGCCTCCACACATGAAACCACAGGAAGCCACACACATGCACACTGCAGCTTTTGCAAGACCTTTGCATCAGAACTTAAAGCTTGTTAATAGTTGAAACTTTAGTCAACAGGTCCATCAGCTGTTGGTCGAAGCAGAAGGGTAACGAGAAAGAAATAAGACAGAGAGACAAAAAGCAAAAGGGAGTCAAGCGTGAGGTGACCGCAGCAGTCGATTATGGAATACTACTACCCTCTACTGGACATAAGGGTAACCTGCAGGATAATATTTGTCTCACTTTCTCCTTCCACTTTGTACACACACACACACACACACACACACACACACACATCTTATGGTACTAGTTACACAGACCAGTTTTTGTTTTTTTTCTATCAAGCAGACGCTGCCCTCGGTTGTATTGATCCTAACCTTTCAGAACTTGAAACACATGACTGATCCTACTTTCTACCTCTCACTGGACTAAAAAAGGGCAAAGAAAGTCAATGAAAGACAAAGAGTAAAAGAGGACCAAAGGAAAGCCCTTAGCCAAGTCTTTCACAGGCCTCTCTGATGGCGATGAGTCCTCTCATTACGTGCACGAGGACTGTATACTTGTTCCTTGTGTCCTTATCTCGAGGGTGACAAGGCAACATGCAGCGCAAGCTTATGAGCTCAGAGCTCTGTGAAGAAAAAGCAAATATTTTTAGCTTTAAGAGCAAAGTACATACTGCACACACTGTAGCACCTCGCTGTGCTGTAATAAGACCAGCCATATCCCAAAATATGTGCTAGGATTTTGGGCTATTTTTGTTCAAGGGAACAAGGCTGTTTTTCACATGGTTTCACAGCAACACAGTTTGAATTTGAAAATGTGAAAGTATAGAGTGTGAGGACAATCAAACAATCCATTAGGTCAATCCCCCTTGAGAAGATAATAAAGCCCTTTTCCCACTGTGTAATGATCTCAACTCTTAATTGAACTTAATTTTATTTTCCACTGAAATAATTGATTTTTCTCTCTTTTTCCATTACGTATGCTGTCAAGGTCAGTTTAGCTCTGGGTTGATTTAGTGATGGGAGAATCTTTCAATCCTCTAAAACGAGTTACAAAGGAATATGATATGCCTCTAAGCTGATCCATAGGTGGAGCGCTTGGAATATATGTGCTGTGACAGAGATGAATAAACAAGGTAGACCAAGCAAGACGATCATTCATTTAAGCTTGCACAAGCTAAGTCAACAATTTCAAAACTGGCACACACCCTTAGGCGGCAATCTCACATGTAAAACCACACATAAGCTGGGTCCAACATCCTCAGTGAAGTGCACATATGCAACACCCGACTATATCTCCTCAGCCACATTTTAACAGAAAGGCTGTGAATGTCAATGTGCAAATGTTTACAGCACACCCCGCTGTCAAACCACTGGCAAATCCATCACTTAGCTTAGTAAGCCCACTTAGGTCAACACAAAGTGGTTAATTGCTCCTGATGAAGGTAAATAATAGGCACTTACAATGACTGAGTGAGGAGGGAGTGGTGGCTGAGAATGAATGGAGGATGTCATGAATGATGCCTTCTGTGATATCAGATTCCTCATCAACAGAGCCCCCCCCCACACACACACACACACACACACACACACACACACACACACACACACACACACACACACCCCTTCCTGTCTCAGTGAACAGAGCAGTGCCCAATTTGGCCACCAGCAACAACAAGAAGAAAACAACTTCAAGAGCGTAAATTAAACATACCTGCAGATGCTTTTGACTGTGTGTGTGTGTGTGTGTGTGTATGTGAGGTCTGCAGGCCCCTGCAGGTGGTATGAATAATTAACAGGGCCAGCGAGCGAGGCAGGGTACCAGGCTGGGTGTTTTGTTACCCCAGCCTCACTCAGCACGCGCATAGAGCATTAGATAACCCTATCTACCCACCCGGCTTGTGTGTGCGTGTGTGTGTGCAGTTGGCCACTTTAGATGATTCCACCATTTGATACCTACAAAACCTCTTGCTGCTTGGTAACAATTCCCGACAGAAAACCTATACATCCCCTATCAAACTGAGACTGGCAGCATCAACTACTGTAATCAACATCAGCCTTATCGGGTCTCAAAAACTGTAAGGACTGTACGTGCTTGTCTGGTCACTACTGTTGCAGTGCAGCGGTATTGACAACATATGCAACAATCTTCTCTCGGCAGACGGAAAATATGTAGAGTGACTAGACATACTTTGGTAATTATATTTTCCTCCACTTTTCATTCTTCTTCGAATGTATATTTCAAAACTGAAGACAACACTTGGTAGCATGGACACTTTCTGTGAAAAAAAAAAGTTCCAATCATCTCTGCAAACAAAATATGTCATTTTTATTCAGCATTAGTATTTTGTTTACATTGTTCTATTTACAACATGGACACACATGACAGGAAAATTGAGGACTTTGTCATTTTAAAATCAAAGTAAAATTAAATTTTATAAAACAAACAAACAAAAAAAAAAAAAACACAAGTGAGTAAGTGGATACATCTAATTTTTAGGGGGGAGGAGGAGGAGGAGGAGGAGGAGGAGGAATAAAGAGACAAGAGTACAAAGACTTCAGAATACACCAGGAAGTTAAGAGTTAAGAAAAAGACGTGGACAAATGGAACAAGGAAGTACACAAGTGAAGACAGAACAAAGAAAAGTATTCAAGCTGATGAAATACAAACGTCAAAAGGACAGAGACATGTCAGACTTCAGTTTAAGTACAGTGACATACGAGATAATTAGAAGGATGGACATGGGTAAGCATTTAACTATGTGGGCTATAACATCATTAATACTGAAATAATACTAAAAAATATATATATATCCTCACAACTATTTTTTTTTCTTTCCTTACCCTGGTCATAGCTTTGTGAAGCACCCGCAGGCCCACTTATACCCAACAGCTGAAGTTGTTATTGATGATGATGATGATTCAAGTATAAAAGTCTCTGTTTTCAGCAGGGCTGGGTTGGGCTGTGCATGCGTAACTGTAGCTCACAGAGAAAGTAAAGGATCATGAAGCTTTTCTCAGTTATCATACAGTATTTGTGAACATGTTGGTTGGATGTTAAGTCCTCAACAACTTTGACTGGTTAAGTGATGGCATTTCCTCTGATTCCTCTAAACTGACGTTGCTGTCTGTGCATGAGGCGTTATTAAGTTGGTAAAGAGTGTGTTTGCTAGGATGCCAAAACGCAGTTGCAATTTTTCCAACTTTAAAAAGTAGAAGTCTGGACTGTGCTGCTGGAACAATAGAGGAAAGCAGTATGTGTGGCCTGGTGGTTTGACAAACCAGCTGGAAGTTTCATGTTCATGAGATTTTTATGCCCCATGTCCACGAGCACCTGCCCTTCTGAAATGTCCATTAGCAAGATACCGAATCCCTACAAACTCCAAAGATACCCTTCTAGCTCGCCCTGTACTTTGATCTCCCTGACAGGGGTTCAAGAAAAGAGAATTTCGCAGCATGGATCAGTGTCACTTTGATACATTATTATTCATTGTAGAAGTAGTGGATTTCACCTTTCCTGTCGACCTATTAGACCCTTCCTCCATCTGCATTTAGAATGAACAGACACGGTGGCTTAACGCTGGCCAAGAAACACGAGTAAAATAATGTGGAGTGAATTAACTACTGAAATTATACAAAAAAAAAAAAAGCTGCTGAGGGCAGGTTCAGTCTTATTGAGAAAGAAAATAACATAAAGAATCCTTTGCATGTGCATACACCTTGTATGATTCAGAAAATAGGTAAAAAGCCAGTAATTGTTTTTACTCGACTCTCAGTGGGCTAAAACATACTTCATTTGCTTTGTTTCATCCATACACTCCAACTAAAGCTGTACAGTGGTCTAAAACACACAAGCATTGGAAACGACAAGCACTCATACACATTGGTATCCAAGCATACAGCATAAACAAATATTTGCATTATAAAAGGCCACATACAGAATGTGAAGCATTCTCACTCAGTGTTAATATAATTAATATAAGCTCTGTGTAGTTTGTACATGAACCTCTAAAGCTAAATCTAACTAAGACTACAGAACTTACAGAAGGGTAGCACTGATCCTACAGTGTCATTTGAAACTAACATTTGCAACATGTTATAAATTATCCAACAGATAAATCACAGAGGTATGATGTACAAAGTCAAATGTAGCACTAAAAATGGCAATCAAGTGATGAATCCTTGCTAAATAACAAATAGATGAGGGGTGCAGAATTAAGGCATAGGACTGATGAAGAAATTAATCATAAATCAATAATGCTCTGACTCATCCCTGATGATCACCTGACTGGATGAGCGTGAGCACATTTCTGATCTGGCCCTGCCTATCCACAGTATTCGCAGTGGTTTCCATTATCATATCTTTTTGATAATAACACGATCACCCTTTTCACACTGCTAGGCCAAACAGAGTTCAGTCGAGTCATTCTCCACCGGATAAAAACAGGTCGGTACTACCATGTGAAAATGGAAACACTGAGAATATTTTCAACTCAAACGTGACCACTATGATACCGTGGATGGAAAGCTGTTTGTTTCACCAATATGAAGGACACAGAGTTGTGCAGATGTTGGCTTAGCGGAGGGAGTGTACATCTACCATCATGCTATCACACCACTGACACATTAAAATAAGAAAAAAGATCCATAATTAAAATGCTTTTGTACAGTAATAAATAGATTTGTCCTCTATTTACAGTTTACTGGACACACTTTGAAGCAAGAGTTTGGAGTTAAAAACATTAAATCCTAAATATTTTTCAAAAGTTATCTGTTTGTTTTCTTGCTTTGTTCTGAGGATGAGGAGTTGGCGCTCAGGATTTCCCCTATTCATCATCCTTCCAATGGTAGGGAAGGCAGGAAGACAACAGAGAACATGCGAGGGAGAAGATGTACGTGTAAGAAACAATGTCCTCCAATGTGTCTTTCCTGTGTTTCATCCTCAATGACTTTCCGATTTGGTGTTGTGTTGCTGTAGCTGCTGCTGCTGTTAAGAGTTTTCGTTAAATTCGCCTCAGTGCACACATACACCCACACACATCCACACACACACACACACACACGCACACACAAACACACAGATTTTGAGCACCCGATGCCTTGCTCTGTCCTTACACAATGCATTGTGTATTCTCCTACAGCCTCTTGCTCGCTCCCGAGTAGCAGTTGCCTCTCAACACAGACCTAAGAACAGCTTTCTCTTCAAGCTCTCCGAAACCTAGAGCTGAGTCCTTGGGGCAACTTCTTCCTCATCCCTCTTGGCCATTCAAAACATTAATTCATCTTCTTCTCGTTTTTCAAGGAGCCATTCCGTTTGTGTTTCCCATTGGCCATGCTCTCATTATGGCAATGTCCATTGGCCATGTTACCATCATCCCTAGTGTTACCACCTCCCCTGCTCTGGTCCCCAACCTTCTTCCCCCTCAGCAATCGTACCAACCGGCGCAGGGCAAAGAAGGTCAGAGCCAAGGCAGCTCCCACAGTGACAATCACATCCAGCAGGAAGTACTGGTAGGGGGAAACCTGGTATACGGCGGAGCGCAGGTGGTTGGCACCGTGGTGACGGAGGATGTAGCTGACCCAGTAGGCAGCTCTGGTCACAGGGTGGCCCGGCTGGTCTTTGTGAATGTTGGAGAGAAGACGTGCTTGCTGGCGGTACCTACATAGGGAGACAAGAGGGTGGAGACAAGAGTATAAGGACACAACAAAGCAAGTCTCAATGGGTGATACTCAGCACACGAACATATCAGAAAACAACTGAATATGAAAAAAAAAAAAAAAAAAGATCTCGATCACCATGAAATCATAGAGTTGTGATGCCATGAATGGTCACCAGATGGCACTGATTAACAATAATGTTAATATACAAAGCCTTTGTGTGTGCTGTGGCTCTAGAAATCTAGAAATCTAACCTGCTGTCTTTGATGACGCTGGTCAGGGCTGTGTAGAGGTCTTCCTCGGTCATGTACTTCCAGTGTATCATGATACCCATACCTTTGGCTGCCACACGAGTCATGGTGTCATAGTGGTCTCCGAACAGGGGCACACCTACCACCGGCACGCCATGATACATGGCCTCGTAGATGCTGTTCAGGCCGCCGTGGCTCAGGAAGGCCCTAGTGTTGGCATGGCCTAGATGACAGGAAGCATGAAGGATGTTATTTTGTGTGTTAAGTTTTGTGTTAGTCTTTTTTAAGGGCACTTACAGTATTTTGCTGCATTCTTTTTTTTTTGTATAGAGTAGAGGCGGCGGGGGGGGGGGCAGTTTACAGTAAGAGGAAGAATGAAGATGTGTGTATCATTCCAACAGTATAATTACCAAAATGCCTCAGTCAGTGCTTCTGTGGAGGAAGTGATTTCATTCGACATAAACATCTCTTATTTTTAGGAGCTTCCAAATTCTGTGGGTATAGTGGGTGACATGTCATACCATTTGGAAGGGGATTTTGTATTTTTTTTTAAACTTGATAACAATTTTGGACCGTTTAACTCAAATGCACTGTGATAGGGTGAGCCATAAGAGAGTTAAGAGGAAAGATACATTTTAGTGTTTTGTGGTGACCTGTCCCTTTAAAATGTCTATTACTGGCCAACCAGAAAAGCCAGACAGCCATAACGTTTCAATATTTGCAGTCTTGGCTAACCAAAGTGCTATTACTCTGCAACAGAATACAATGCTAGCTGTCAATATCTGAATCCTGTTGCACATTCATCATTCCTGACAGGCGTAAAGTGGCTCACACATCCACATTCTGCGCACTACTGTGGTTATTCAGTAGGTATGGGAGGAACCCTCACACACATAACCTACTCCGCCACATCCCGAGGAACATCTTGCATAAAAACACAACGGATCAGTTTTGTGTCAAAACATGCCTTGAACCAGAGGTATGACGAAATCAGAGTTTTGAGAAGCTGTTCTTAAACAAGGCACCGGGATTGATTTCAAAGGTTTCGAAAGTGCTGTGAAATACTTTTCAGTTATATGGTCCAATACAACATATAATAAAGTGACTGAGCCAATTTGACTGTTGATAAGAAAACTACATGGTAAAGTTCACATTGTGTGGCGTCTTATTAAGGTGCTCACCTAATAAGTCATTCTGAGGCATCCAGTCAACAAGCTTGGTGTTGTTGCCAAGGTTACTGGGTGGGACTCCAGAGAATCTAAGGAAGGAAAGAAGGATATTATGAAGGGAAGGAAAGCATTGACAAATAAAATGCTAACACGGTTCATATCACTTTTTAGCAGATCATGTTGATATCACAATATGTGGATACCAAGGAAACCCCTGAGACTTAACTCTCTGACACAGTCATATTTCACTTTAGTTCTGTTTAATCAGAGTGGCTGCTCACAGAGTATTTCATATTTATTTCTAATGTGTAAATACCACTGACTGTGGGAGAAGAGTGTAAGCCTACCACCTGGATTGGAAATGGATTCCCTGTTACGCTATATGAAGTCCAGCAATGAAGTTATTACATCCAGCCTTTTGTCAAACCTGATACTTGTCAAGTAAATATTGAAAAGCATCTTGTGTACGCACTCTGTCTTACAGCTGTTTGTGCCTATTCACTTGTTAGAGGAATACTCTAAGAAGAGCCATACCACTCTTGTGTCTGTACAGTAAATATGAGGCTACAGCCATCAACCAGTTAGCTTAGCTTAACACACAGACTGGAAGCAAGGCGCAACAGCTCCCCTGGCTCTGTTCCCAGGTGACAAAATCAGCCTACCAGGTCACCAAGCTCGTTAAATAACATGTTATATGTCATTTGTTTTACCTGTGCAAAAACCAAAACCCGTCTAACTCGTCGCAGTGTCACAGTTGGATGCACGCCGGACTATTTCTTGATTTCGCTCAGTAACTTTCTGGAGAATCTGATGGTTGCCGGGCAACCTAACAGTCACCACAAGTCTCCAGGAAGTTAATAATAAGAAAGCCTTGCTTGTTCACTCGCAGATTTAGGTTTCGACTCATCATCTTCGACTGGTGGTGTTGAATTGTATACAGTATTGTGAGTATGTTTGCTGGTGTCAGTGGTTGTGTCTGCGGAAGCATGCTACATTACGACCCCCATCTGTCCATCTCTGTCTCCTTCCCTCGCTACCCCAAACTCTTTTATCTCTCTTTCTCTCTTCAACAAAGCACCAATTCACTGTTCTGCCAATCAAAGCCTACATTCATGCAGCCAATTATCAATGACACAATTCATTTGGCTTGGTCCCTGTGTTTTCAGCAGCCTTCTTCCTTTTCCATCCTTTAGGTCTGGAAGGGCCACTGGAAGCCAGATTACTATTCTATGTCTTGGGGCCTATAAAAGTCAAATGCTAATGGCTACGAGTTTCAGATCGTTGACTGACTTCACCTGTAGAACTGGTCCGATACCGACATGTGAAACATCAATCTCTGATATCTCATCATGAAAGGTCAATGCTTGAGAACAGAGGAATGTGTTTCATTTGCCTTTGAAATTTAACACACTACAAACACATGTTGCATGGCAAACGAAATCTAGTACTCCTCATTACCACACACAGTACTTCTTTCCCCCGATTGCCACAACCATGGCAAGATTTTTTCACAACCACCCACCTGTTTCCAAACAGACACTGCAACCACAATCTGATCCCCCACCAGTGACTCTGCCCAGCTCTAACACCTCAAATTCTGTAACATAGTGACTTGCTTGCTGTTGAACCTTGCCCCTCGCATGCTAGTAAGTTGCACCACATACATCTTTGTTCCACAATACCACGTTTCATAACCTCTACCATGCAATACAATTGTGCACACACGCATCCAAATGAGCAAGGTACAGGCAACCAGGGAAGACTTCTGCAAAACTAACAAAAAAGCAGCGACACACACGTGAACTGTTCTCATTTGGATGAAGGCACGGATGGTCAAAATGTTGGTATGATGCTTAACTAAATAAACATTATGGAAACAGTTTGAGTGTATGACTATTTTGTTTTGGTTGTGTATGTAATAAAAGTGGTCGTATTGCATCTGAGCTCAAATGTTCTCCCTTTTAAATGGTAGATTGATTTTCCAGTTACTCTAAGTCAATACATGCATTCCCTAACTGGGTAAATCTGCTTTATTATTCATATCAACTTCATTTGATCCTCTACCAATGTATTACAGTTATTTCTGGAAAAAAACAGCAAAAACTTTCAATAATTTTCTCTCCTACTTTCTTATCATCGCACCTCTGGAACTGACATCACTCTGAGGTCTCTTTCTAGGGTCAGAGGAAAGTTTTTATTGTCTATTAGAATGTAACTTTGAACTTTATCCTTGCACTTCTTGCTTTTGTTTATTTGTCATGTGTGGGGTTTTGAAACTAAATCACTCCAAGTGTTTGCCTAGTCTTTGCAAAAGTCTTATCTTATATTATCTTTAGTAAACACCTGTAAATACAATGTTGGCATGGCTCACAGGGTGCCCGATGAAAATAGAAAGGCACGATATGATATCATTATTAATAATAGTTAATGGTAACAATTTATCAGTTGAAATAAAGGGTAAAATGAAAAACCTTGCAAACAATATTGAAAGTTCAGTATTACATTTCCATTTGGTCTATAATAACATATTTTGAACAATCATACTAAAAATGCTAAAAACTACAACTGAAATAAATACAAATAAACAATACAAAACGGCAAACAAACAAAAACTGAATCTACACATGCCATGTGAAAACTAACTAAAAAAAAACTAAATTAAAACACATCATTTTAAAACTGTAATTATTCTGGCACAGACACACCTAATGAAAAGGTTACTTGACCATTATGTCACGGTCATGACATCATTGAAAACTGTGGAGTGTGTTCGTACAAGTTACACACCAGCCACCAACCTCTGCACACAGGGGCATGTTAACCATTACCATTCACCCAGCTATACACCTGGAGAAAAGGTCAGGTTTGTGGACAGTGTGTATATATGTACTCGAACCACGGCTTTGTTCCTGCAGTCTACAATAGTTATGCAATACTTGGACATACCAGAATAGATTGACCTACACAGTATATATAAACGATATTGTCTAATAAAGATGGTGCAACATCAGTCAGTTTCTAATTAGTTCTAATTAACTGTTATTTAAACATTTATGAGATGGAAATTACTCAAAATAAAGTGTGTGAATGTGGTCAATGAATCACAGACTCAATTATGTTGAGAGTTAAAGATTGACAGGTTTACGAATCAAATTTCAAGGCACTGAGAGACTTGCCTCCTCTATCAGTCCCACTCCCCCTCCCTTTTATTTTTAGCATTTTTCCTGCTCAGGTCACAGATAGTGGATAATTGCTTTGGGACTCTGTGTAAATGATTACTAAGGATTAGATTTCAATCACACCTATCTCTCTCGCCGAGAAGGCACAAACATTTTAGATAAGTGTGAAGGACCTTTTGTCATCAAGTCAACCTGAACTCATGCGCCCAGCGATGACACATGCATGCATGCACAGACACTGCAGCAGCTTTAGTTTTACAGCCTAAGCACACAGACGCAATACCAAACCTAGTCTGTGCAGCAATTTCTTCTAATTTATCAGCCTATATATACACTGATACAGGTATACAGTATATACAATAAGCTAATGTCGGCCAGTATATTAGCCTGGTTGATTTATTGGTCTATCTCTATTTAGTTTCCTTCTCACATACATACTCAACGCTGTTTGAACAAACAGATGACCTCAGATAATACCCTCAAGCAAATGTAAGATGGGAATATGGACTTTAGCCTAAGAGGAAGCCTGTAACAGAGGAACAACACATGTATTTTATGATGAGCCACTGAACATAAGCAGCGTGGATGAATACGGGGGTCCACGTAAAACGTTATATATACACACTAAGTCATCTGACATCCACAGCCCCCTGAGTGCTGAGTGGAGGAAAGTCTTCAACTTGAAGCTGACTACATTAGAAAGGTTACATCTGTCACACTGGCAGATGTGTACAGTGAGAGTGACAGTGAGAAAATAGATACTTTACCTCCAGACGACACGCTGGGGCAGCCTGGCGAGGGCTCCTGCCAGTTTGTGAGCAATGTCATGGGAAAGGTACTTGACCCCAGCTCCGAACGACACAACCACAAAGCCATGCTCCGCTGTGTCATTCACCCACGCCTCAAAATCCTGCAGAAATATGAGAAAAAAGAGGTTAAAAAAAACGCAACATTTTTTAGTATTGATACACAGTGTAGATAATTGGTAATTGCAATTGCAACCCGCTAAGATCCACCTCAGATTATTCTAATACATTAAAGATAAAAACCTGACATAAAAAACAGACTGTTCACATCCATAAACCTTGTTTGTCGTCTTTATCGCTTTATAGCCAGGACAGGCATGATTAATGAAGGCTTGTTTCACACTCATATTCTGAGTGATTTACAGATAAATTTGGGACGATGATATAAAACTCACAGAATTTTGCTAGACAACTTGACCAATCAGCATACAGTACACCAAAACGTTTTAGTAATGTTGCAATGTGATAGCAACAGGCAGATAAGATGAGAAAATCCCAGACTATAAATCCCTTTCTAGTTGGTACCACTTATAAAAATATTTCTGTGTAGACTACTCAAATTCAAATCCAGGAAATTTTTTTACATAAAAAGAACAGGCCACAGTGGAAGTTTATCAAGCAAGACAGGTCTAATGTCTAATGCATGAAGCTGTTAAATATATGCAAGTTAATGCCTCAGAACTTCAAGCTAGGATGTGCTGAGCTTACATTTTGCACTCTGGTCCCAGTGCTGCATTATACATCAACATTTCATATTATGACATTAATGAGCAATATTGATAGTTAACAAAGCCACCAATTTTAATGGTCCAGTATCATTTTCTTCCTACATTCATAGATGAACTTATTTCCCCACATAGAATTTCCTGGTTTCCTGTTGAATCATTATTTCAGTGAGATAAACAAAAATACAGAAAATAGTCATTTACATTCATTTTGGGAACAATTTATCCTTAAGCTACTGTGACATCAATGTTTATGTCTCATCATTATTTTATTCAAGTGGATGGGAAAGTGGTCTCAGACTTTTGGACCCCACTGCATGTCTACTGCAATTTGGTGTATAATGTATGGCTGTACATAAGGTCAGCAGGTAGTGCATTTCCCCAAGAGATCAGCAACTCTCTACAAAGTTCTAGTTTTGTATAAAATATCTACCATGGGCCTGCTACAGAGAGGACAACAAGATATATTTCATTGGCTTTGTTGGGAAGCTTGTTTTGAAGCTGCTCATTAATAATCATTTACAAAACACCATAAAAGTCAGTCTACACAAAAGTCATTCAGCCATCTGATACATGATAAAATCCTACACACTGAAAATACATAATGTTCAGCACATTAACAAGTTTACCAATTAAAACTTTGTCATCTGATCTGTGCATCTGTAACATCCTTAAGGGGTCAGTTCACCTTAATAACAACAGACACTATTCCCACTCTTACCCTTGTTGGTACAGAATCTAGACATGTAGGCAGTTCAGTTTTATGTGCCGGGTTTTTGAGATATTTGAAGTTTGTGCCGCCACCTCAACACAATAAAATACAATGAAGGTGAAAGAGGGAATGTCTTTTGTGATGTTCTAAGAAATCTTAAAACCAGCATGTTCCTCTAGAAACAATGTCCTAGTTGCTTAACAGAATTCACAGTTATCTTCCCCAGTCCCCCGGTTGGCCATTCAACCAAACTGACAATAAAATTAGAGAACAGTTTATCTTGACTGATAATGTTGAGCTGAGTGTCCATTATTAAAAGCAAAGTCAGATATATAAGAGCTCCCCGTAATAACTGCTACATAGATGTTGACAGAATTTACATATTTGGGTTACACGGATGAAGGGATAGTGAAGAATATTTCAACTATCAAATTGGAAAACAAAGACTCCATAAGTACCGTTTACATGACGAAGTTCAACAATCCTAAATATTATCTGTGGTCTATCAATATGAAACATTTTATTGATAGACCAAACCAAAGAAAAGAAAAGAAAGGAAGCTTGCGGTCTCTCCCAACTGAAAGCTGCACTGAGGCAGTGAAAACCAGAGACATGACCTCCTCCTCCAGGGCACTGTTCTTGGAAGCAGGAGACCTATTCCGGGTTTTACTAAAAGGAATTTTCTACATTAACTAATAAACCTGTTTTTGGAACAGGCTGTGGGGGGGGGGGACTAGTGGGTGGTAAGACAGCCTGCCATTAGCTGATCAAAAATAAACTTGGCAGATGATGTTAAGAGGAAGTCATAACAGCTCAGAAAAGGTTGTTTGTGTGTGTGGGTGTGTGTGTGCATGTGCATTTAGGATGGCACCAGTGCTCTGTATAGTAAAATAATTATTTGAGAATGGTAAGTGAGGATGTATGGACTGACGGTGGGTGGGGACTGGTCAGGGAGCAGCCATGTTGGAGTGACAGAAGCGGAGGACAAGTAGGGGGTGGGGGTGGAGGGGGGCAAATGGTCCAGCTGCGGCAGCTAAGGCCGGCCCTGGCACGGAGCAACCTAAGGGGCACACTGGGCTCTGTGTCCCAGCAGTGCAACCCTACTGTCCCTACAACGCAGCCTCAGTGACCCCATAAAAGAGTCTCAGTGTCCCCAGCGCTCTGCCCAGAACAATGGCCTCGTTCTCCCTCCACTTCCATTATAACTCCCTCCGCACAACACGGCACAATGCTCCCTATTGGCTGGAGTGGCATTCCAAAATCCTCTGCAGTAGATACCAACAGCCCGCGCTCTCGGCATTCGAATGCTGGACTAACCCCCGTCACCACTCGCCTCTGCTCTCCATGGCTCCCCTCCCTCTCTGCTCAAAAAACCTTCCGTGTCCATTCAACTCAAAACCTTCCTCACCCCAGCATCCTCTATGAAGGCCCGCTTTGTAGCAGGATGTGATAATAAGAGATACCAAGTGATAGGAGAGACAATGGGGACAAGCAAGGGTAGATACAAAAAATACTGAAACAGTCAGTCCGTTAAGACGGGGTGGGGGGGACAATACGAAGGGAAGAGAAACCAGCAAGACAGGCTGTCAATAAATGAACTGAGGTATGTGCAGTTACTGTATGTGAACTGACAATGTGCATCATCATAAGTCTATTGTCTATTAACAACCATTATCTCTTGAATGGCATATAAGAGATATGATCTACCACCACTTTCCCATAGGTAAATTCTTTCACAACTGCTTTTGAATAATTAGTTCACCTGGTGAATGAGAAACAGTTGACAGAAAATTGATAATTTATGCAAGTTAGTAAAACCTAGAAAGGAACAGGCTCTAATATAAAAAAAAGGAGAGAAAAAAATGTGTATAGTTATACGTAATACAAAAAGGACAAACTTCTCCCAAGTCAGTTTGAAGCATAACGATATGGATTTCTATCCCTTCCATGAAACCACACATTTGCATAATGTCATGGTCAAACTCAGTCATCATGAATTAGCCCTTGTGTTATAGTACCTTTGTCACCAGTGGCACAGAGCCCTCATTTTATGTTCCAGCATTACACAGGAACATATTCGTAATATTTTTATTTAAGCATGTGGATCTTGTGTAAGTGTAAATGAGCGTTAATTGACATTGACTCTGTAGAAGGGTTGGACAATATGACAATATACAATTTACTAAATATCATAAGATGATATAAATATGTCAATCATCAGTGATTTTAGACGGTTTATTCTGCAGTAAGTATCCCTTTAACATCTCTGGGTGTATTAGGCCACTGTAGGAAATGTTACACTGAGTTATGACTCCAGTGGGATTTTATATGACTTTTGAATCAATGTGGTGAAGCACCTAGGTGTATCAGAGCTGAATTAGCCCAACAGCAGACATGCTGGCAGGTTATTAATTTATCCATGTTAAATTTATCAATTCATTTTCCAGAAAATGTACAAACTTAACACAATCTACAATGACAGCGTGATATAAAATTACACACACTGTGAGGATTTTCTCCATATCGACCACTCCTACTCCACAAGGACTAAAACTAGGACACTCAGATACTCAGAGCACAGTGAAACACTGCATAACACATTTTTTACATCTGACGTACCACACATACACTTTTTTGTCTGTCTTAGCCTGTCTCATCATGTGCTTATCAGCTGTCTGTGTGTCTCTCAGTACTGACCTGTGGCAGAGGGTTGGGGGGCTTGGTGAGGATGCCTCCTATGTACACCACATGTGGCAGGGTGGGCCGGGGGAACTCCAGAGCCATGTCAGTGCACAGCATCCACAGCCGGCTGCCTTGCACCAGGTCAGCCATGGCCACGTGAGGCTTCACTCCATGTTTCTTCATAATCCGGTCATACTTGGGCAATGCAATATAATGGACTCCAAAGCGCTGCACCAGGTAAACAGCAGTGTTTGTGATCCTCTGGACCAGAGACATGCGGTCTGTCAGCAGTGAGTTGAATTCGGGTACATAAGATAGCGGGGCTGGGGCACCAACCTCAGCAGGATACCACAGACCTGTGCTGAAGACGGCATATTGCACGCCCAGGATATGAGCTATTACAAAACCACACATCTCATTAGGATCCACCAGCAGCAGGTCAAACTTGGCCTCCTTGAGGCGGGTCATTACCTCAACATTGCCTACAACAGCATCACAGTTCTGAGAGTAGTGGTCAAGAATGTCAAACAGTTCCAGAAATGTCAGGCGGCCTGAGAAGATGTTGCTGACTTTGGACTGGAGGAAACTGTCAGCCGTGCTGCTGTTAAAGATCCCTGGATAGCGTTGTAGGTGGTAGTGAGGAGAGGGGGGAACCTCACGACCCTCTGAAATTAGAAAATGGCTCTCATGGCCCTCCTGGTGCAAAGCCGTGGCCAGAGTCTTGAAGATGTAGAGGTGTGATTCAAACATGATGGGTGGGACCACAATTACTTTAGAGCATGATGCACTGGGACTCCAGGTGAGGAGGCCAAGGAGGAGGAGTAGTGATGAGGGTAGTAGCATGGCTGAAATAATAAAGAAAGGAACAATGTTAGCACTGCAGGATGTCAAAATAAAAGCAGAACCCAGTCATCAAAAAGCTGTCATCATACAAATAACAATCAGTGTTGCTCCACTGGTACAGAATCAACCTAGATTATTATCAGGTTAGATACGTGTATCATACATCATACATTCATTTAATACTGGGAATTATATAGGAAAATGGGCCTGACATAAAATTACAGGTCAAAAAAGTGCCTGCTGAAGACTCAGAGAAGGTAAAGAAAGAACAGTTCATCAGATGTATATGTATAGTTTGTTGTCTTGAAACTTTTATCTACACAACGAACCTCACTCTGGCCCACCTATTGTCTGTCACCCATGATGAAAGGAGGCAGTTTGACATAGTTGAAAGTCTTCACATCAAAGCCTTCACTTCAACCCTGGAAATTAATTCAATTGGTCTCTATACTCAGAAGTGGTATTGAGAGAATGCAACTTCTCAGTTTCTTTGTGGTTGCATGTTCTCATTAGTTTACCTGCCCTAATCAACCTTTGCCTTTCTTTCTCCATATTTCAATTCCACCTCTTCATCTCTCCTCACTGTGCACAGCCGTCACTGACATGGTGTGGGTAGCACCAACGTCATTCTAAACCTTCAGCCACTCTATTCACAAACATAAACACAAAGAACCATTATCATGGCACCATGTCATAGCCTGTGCCCTATATGCCTACACTCTTTCTCCCTCTTACTTGGATTAATCATCAACACTCAGAACCTCTTACGGAGAGCCCTCAATTATCCAGGGTTTTTTTTTTTTTTTTAAATCTACAATGACTAACTCGTATTCTCCTTCCACAGGGCGTTACACCTTAAGGAATGCACTGACCTTTGGAGGAAAATATATAAAATTACACTCAAGCAAAAGCGTGATTGTGGTTTTGGACAGGGACGTAAAGGAGCGAAGTAATCAATGCACAAAACAAAACCACAGCTAAAACCAGGGCTGCTCCTTCATGTACTTTTGAAGCGAAATGTGTTGTCCAAATTCTTAACATGATGCTAACAATATAATGCAGCAAGCAGATGAATAAATTCTCAACCTACTTACATAATATGCATAGTCTTTCATTTCCTTATAAAGCTCTCCTTTTGGAGCACTGGAGGAAGCATACATTCTTCCATACATTCTTCCACTGGCTATTCAAACATCACATTGCACCCCCATGTAGATTACCAGTCCATAACCTCAGACAAAGCCAAAAGAAACTGCTGTACAAGGGCTTGTGAGGAAGCATCTTGCATAACTGTTACAATTGTGTTAGTATAATACGTAAGCGGCCTTAAAATGGACTGCCAAAGCTAGATAAGGAATTAAATATAAAGGGACAGGTCTTAGTTTTAAACCTAACCTGGTGCTTTGAGTGTTTTCAGTGTGGAGTTTAAGGTGGCGTGTTCGCGTAGGTGTGGATGTATGATGTCACCGTTTTTCCATGTGTCAGACTGATAACCCATTCATGGCGTTGCCTGCCTCTCATCCAGTGTGTGCTCCGATAGGCTGCAGCAGCCTGCCAGTGCTTATTTCCTCCTGTCAGCCCCACAAGACATCTCCCGCATCATATTTTATCATCAGATGAGTACTATCTCCCTTCTAGTGCCATTACATCTCAATCTATATCAAATGGCATGGCCCATATTGTTTCTGCTGAACGTCTCCTGATGGCATCTACACAGGATTCTTATCTTATCAACCACCTGCTTCTCCTCAATATGGAGGTTCTCTCCACAAACAGCTGGGGCCTGATAGGAAGAGGAATCAGCGTGGCCACCATTTTGTTTAGCATTGTCCTGAGGATATCGTTACAAACACTTCTCAGCCCAGACTGTTGATGGTAACTATAGAAACCAGCCACTGTCTACTGAGGACTGTGATGCGTCATGACTTAAGTTACTAACAATGGAGTCTGGTTACCGTGCGCACAGGGAGGGCTGAGCAAATTATCTGGATTAAGAGAATTAAAAAATACGAAACGATAGGTGGATCTGGGTGAAGGCAAAGAGTGGATGAAAAACTAAATTGCACAAAAATTTAAAAACAGCAGTAAAAACTATTTTAGAATTTGTAAGGAAAACCCTTTAACAAGGCATAACAGCTATGGGCAGCAGGCGACAGCTAAGAGATATATGAATATATTTATATTGTTACGTGATATGAAACATCTTACCAGCTATATTACCATTAAATGAGATGACTGTGTGTGAACATATAGCAAAGCTAAATCTACAATTATTGCCTCAACTTGATTGATCACATTATCATATGAAGGATTTAAACAACTAGTGAGTCTGTTGCCTCTGACTAATAGACTTTGTGTATAAACATAAGTCACCTGCAAACAGGTGCAGTTTACTTTTAAGTTTTACCCAATATTCTACACCTATGTGTACACAATTTCCCTTTTGTTCCCATGCACAATTCATACATATATCAACAATAATAAATGTATGATAAATAATATTGCTTATTGACATTCAGTAATTAATTTGGACTGTCCACAGTACTGATTATTATTACCAGCAAACTGTACAAAAATACAATTCGTAAAAGTTTTGATTTATGCATGTGCAGAATTCTTCTGTAATATATAACTGTGACACGCAGTTTGTTGCATTGAACATCAATTTGAGTATTCTATATGATCATAGAAACATGTACCATATTGTGATATAGGTTATTAATATTGTGATACTGACTCTTACCTGTCCTGCTTCAACAACTGCATCTAAGTTTTGTCAGTGCCACATTTCAAATTGTGGCACAGACTCATAAAGACTCACAGATGAGTTTATAGTGCAAAAAACACTGTTCTATGGTATTTTCTTCAGATTAAGAGCAAAATAGCATGAATGAAACTGAGAATGAAAAAGAACATTATGGGAAATTTCTGTGTAACCAACTACCGCTTTCAACAGACAGAATGCAAGTAATTATAAACTCTGACCATAACTCTGTTATAATCTCAAATTAATTGGCTTGCATTGCAGCTTTCCGTTGTGTATTATGGAAAATCAAACCAATTACAGCTTCTGCAGAAAGCGTTTTGGCCCATTCAGACTGACACAAGACAGTAATTATACAGTAATTATTGCTCTCTAATACCATAATCTAGACTAACATTTTCTTGATTTAGCACAGCAGGAGGAGCAGCCTCACTGCTTACACAGCAGGGGTTCATTAGCTCAGTGCACCCTGTTGAGAGGGGAGATGTGACTTCCAAGAACTGATATTAAGTAAAACACAAGTCAGTCCAAGCTGTTTATTTAGTCTCATCTTTCAAATAGAGGGAGATAAACTGATCTTAAATTTCTTTGCTGAAAAAGAACCCACTTGAGTCCTTTGAAGGGCAATACAAGGTTAGTAAGTCTTTTAAAAAAAAATGAAAGGACAACACAAACCGAAAGGGCTTGGCTGCACAGTTCACATTAGCTTTCAGATTATAGAATACAGTTTCCTGGAAATACAGGAAGATTCAGAATCTGCTAACAGCTGTAAAGTTTAATGAGATCCATAACTGACCCATGCAAATTTGATCATATCAAAACTCAAACTCTGATAATGATATCTAACATGCAAACACATAACATGGCCTGATGTCTACAACAAAAATACCTCAATGTTTGGATACATGTGTGAAAAGGCACATTAGCTCAACACCTACAGAAGTTTAAGGATAATGATGTGATATCTGCTAAATAATACTTTGTCCTTCTTTGTGCTTCATAGAAAAGTTAAGCTAAGGTCAAGAACCTTTAGATCTTGAATTTTGGTGAAAACAAAATGAAAGTGGAAAAAAACACTTGACTTTCCCATGCCAAGCCACATGAGAAGCTGTTTATAATAGCAACATGGTCTCTGTGTGCCCTTACCTCTTAAAGCTTCATCAGCATTTGACGGAAAGGTATACACACTAGCTATAGATGAATAACACTGTGAGAAAACACTACTCATTCATTCCTTCACACATGTCTCTGTTCAAATAAGTTATATTTTCTTGTAAAAAAAAAAAGAAAGAAAAAAGAAAAAGGAAAAATTAATTTCCCACCCAGACCCATATGCTACACAGACACATACATATCACTGGACATGTCACTGCAAAACAGCCTACAAGGCCTTCAGCATGAGCAACCAGCTCATCCATTGCTGTTTTCAATGTCATTTTAAAGACCAGACAGAAATTCACTGTACTCATTCCACCTCTCAGCTCTCCTTCCTCATATTTGACTGAATGTCACCTCTTACCTTCTCTATTTCCCTTCATACTTCCTTAGCCACACTATGACCATCAACACACACAGGAACAGGTCGGACAGACTCTTGTCTTTCAAAGAGCAAATAGTTGTTATAGCCAATAAACAAAACAGGAGAGTAGTACAAAGCAGCACAGTAACTGTCAATGGTATCTCATTAACACAATTTACTGAATGATGAATGCAAAGAAACAGGGATACAGTGGTGTATATATATAAAACCACCACAAATAGATCCTGTAAAATATCCTTGCATAATATATTCAACCAATAACAATAATTCTTGGGATGACATTTCTAATAAAACTTAGCACTGACAACTTTACTTGTGTACACAGAACAAGTATAGCAGCCTTTCTGAGTCTGGGTGGATTTATTCGTTTAAGCTTTGGGCAAAGGCACGCCGCACAACACACACGGACGTTTTGAGCGTTTAAGCAACAGCACAATCAACATCCAAGTCAGATATTTGGTACATTCAGCAGTGACTTGCATATTTGAGAACAGGATCGCCCTCATCACCTTTCGCCTGCAGATTCAAAAGATTTTTTTTTTTTTTTTTTTTTAAACATCAGGTGATTGCTTTGCGTGGGTGCAACATGGTTTGGCCGAACAGGTGTCCTGATGTAGGTATAGCTCAAAGAGAGAAATGCTGTATTCAGGTCAAACAGGATTTCGGTTGAAGTTCACCTTTGCTTTCAGGTCATATTATAAAGCCCACTGGACATGTGAGGTTTAATATCGATTTGTGACCTCTCAAAGATTACGATTACCATTTTACAAGTTCAACTGATAATAACTCGTAAAATGTCATGCCAGCATATCCTGGCACGGTGGCTGTATTTTATAACAGTGTTTGTTTTTCTGGAGGTTAGCACACACCCAAAATATGTAGCGCAAGTGTCATGCCGACAATCCAGAAACAAGTCTTTACAAAACGCTTAGGATAATGTAATGGAGGCATATTACTGCCAAACTGGGGCCACACAACATATATGAAGACTGCCATGTTGCAGAGGATAACTTTATACCAGGTTCAATCCACTACTGAATTCACAAATACACCATGACAATTTACCGCCCATGGGGATTTTCCTAATTCGCAAAGGACGTGAACGCAACACAGCAACCTGTGTCTCAGGAGGTTTCGACTCTCACCTGAGCTTTTAGTTTAAACAGCCAAGCAGCACGTAAGAATTCTCCGAAAATATCAGGTTAGACGGCTTGTATGAAACTATAACCACGAAAAATAAAGGGATGAAAAAAGTGGGTTTCTGCAGAGTCGCCAACAACAGGTTGTGTTCACGATGCACCTGTTGTGACGCGCACGTAGCTCACTTGTGTTGGCCTTACCTTGTGACTTAGACGTTGCTCGGCAGAAGTTGAGAGGGATGGTAGTCTCCAAGAGGATTTAAAAGTGTCGGGGAGGAAAAACACAAAAAGTGATGAGGACTAAAGGAATAGAAACAGGTCCCCGGGTATCGAGCACGGGCACAGGGAACATTAGAGTCGCAGTGTCTTTCACGGTGGAGGAGAGAGGCGTTCCAAGATGGACAGGAAGGGAGTGGCAGAGAGGGGGGAAAAAAAACCTGCACAGGGTTGGTTGAATAAAAGTCAATGAGGGTGGGGGAGTATCGGCCCATACAAGTCCTACTTTGCCTCTGCAACAAGTGACTGCATCCGTGTTGATACTGTCAGCGGTTGAGATGAGTGAGTGTATGGGTTTAGACTGATAAACGATGCCAACGACTGACTGACCACATTTTTCTCGGTTTTATACTTGTTAGATTAAGGTGATGGCTGATTTTACAGAGATGAGATTGTAGGAAGATAGTGCCTCTGAAGCAGAGGAAAATCTTAGATGCTCGTAATCTGAATTCTTAAATGTATTTTAGTAATTGTTAAATTGGTGGCTGTCTTAGGCTGCATATTGATATTCCATGTTGTGGTAGCACTTTCTAATAATGCATCCTTTAACAAAGGGTTACAAATTATTCTGTTGCAACTAACAGTTTTTTTCATTACGGATTAATCTATTGATTTTTAACTAACTAAAAGTAACTGATTAATCATTTACTTTATTAAATGAGCCATTTCCAAAATGTCCACTTCCCTGAGCCTAAGGTAACATCTTTAAATTGCTTCTTTGGTCCCACTGGCAACCTTTAACCTTTGTATGAACCAGAAGAGTACATGTGCATTCATTAGAAACTCTATCTATCTATCTATCTATCTATCTATCTATCTATCTATCTATCTATCTATCTATCTATCTATATGTCTATCTAATTTCACCCACTCACCTTTTGTGTGTGTGTACTTCTAAAAGATTGATGACTCAGAGCTGGAAGATAAAGTTCCTGATGGTGCTGGAATTCAGCACTCTGTTCTATGAAACCATATTCTCAAAAAGGCTTTGTAATATATCTTTATAATCAGCAAGATAATTAGCTATCCACAGCAAACTGTTGTGCTCAGCCACATTATTAAACTACCCGCACCAGTGCTTTGTGTGTGCAAGTGTGTGTGCACTGTATTTTCTGGATCAACAGAAAAGACTGTTATAAATTGCTTAGTCTTCATTCATCCACCAACTCATTTATTTACAGAAACACAACACAGTTAGGTAGATGGTAGGTATAGAAAAAGCTGTTGCACTATTGTAAATTACCTTAGGGAAGGTTGGGAAACAGGGCTGGGGTAACTCCCCACCAGCAAACATCCAAGAGAGGACTGATGCTTATCAGACAGAGAAGAGGTGGAGATAAAGGATTGAAAGAGTGAGTTCATTGTGATTATGCTGACACTGGGACTTAACTGTCACACACAGAGAAGTAAGTCTGTTTACACGGTAAACACACACATGCACACACACTTAAGCTGAAGGGGATGTAAAGTAATTAAGGGCCGGGTGGGGGTTGGAGAGCAGAGCCATAATGTCAGTGTATTTAAAAACAAATGGATGTTTCTTCTCTAACAGTGATCCATTTGTCTATGGATCTTCCCTACGTGCGCACACTCACACACACACACACACACACACACACACACACACACACACACACACACACACACACACACACGCACACACACACTTTGTTCATGTCTTTCGATACATTCACTGCCCTCGCCATCCCATTTCCTCAGCTATGCCCTGAGTCATCACAATAGTGTTCCACACTACTACTGGTTAGTAGGCCTCAGCATCCACTCCACCCCTCCAATCCAAAAAGGTGTGTAGAGGTGGAGTGTATTGCTGCTGCTGCTGCTGCTGCTGCTGTTTACTCGCTATTTGTCTGGCTCCCGCCTTCACTCTCACTCATCATGTGTCTCTTCCACACTTTGCCCCCATACGCTATTTCTCTCTGTTTCACTCTCTCTTTCCTCCCCTCCCTCACCCTTGCTCTTCCTATGCTATTCTCTTTCTCCCCCACCTCACCACCACCCCCACCACCCCCGCCCCCACCAGATATCAGGTGTGTTACCTGAGCTCCATATCAATAGTTAATCACCCTGGGACACCCAATCTACAGAGCATGACAGAACTCTCCCATGGAGAGTTGTGGTGGTCATGGTGTCTGTACTGTGTGTGAGAAAAGAAAAAGGGGGGGGGGGGGGGGGGTTAACGACTCGCACATTTTGAGAGAAGTCAAAAGCTGCTGAGAGAGCTGGGAGGGAGAAACCTGCAAGGGGGAAAAAATGGCCAATGATGAGGAAGTGGAGGGAGTGTGGATTGTGCTGGGCTATGCTATAAAACTTACACACAAGGCAAAGATTTGATCTCTGCCTTAGTTTGGAGGCTGCTTATTCATCATAGATTAACAAAATGAATAAATACTAATACTTTGAGCTTGTCTATTAAAAAAAAAAAAAACAGAATTAAACATGGAATATAAAGTACTCGAAGAAGCATGGCTCCACAGTAAAATAGATGGACAATACTTGGAGAATAGAGGCTTCCATTATCTTTGAATCATTTTTTAATTTTGTGAATTGGACTAAACTTGGGATGGCTCTGCTTCCCTGTTCTGCCCCCTAGTGGACAAACAATGGTATTACAAGAAGTACGCGAGCAAGCCAGCTCTGAACTGCATCTTACATACAGTATGACTGATAGACAAAAGATTAATATATTATTTTTAATATCATTATGGAGGTGATGACCTACAGCAGTCCACAAACAGGTACTATAATCCCTGGGATGATGAATCCTTCATTCACATCTTTTCTGCAGCATTGCTGATGTGTGAAGGGTGATTAGGAGGAGTCTGAGGACAGAGACTGTCATATGCTGTGCAGATTGTAAAGCCCTCTGAGGCAAATTTGTGATATTGGGCTGCATAAACAAAGCTGACTTGACTTGATTTGAACACTCTTCCTGGCAGATGATTCATTAATAAAAGAGCTCCATTTTGTAAAGAATGCTGAGGTTTTGGTTACATAGTAGTCAAAATATAGCCCTATATATCCCAAATCTCTATGGTATATGACATCCTCTATCTTTAAATCCTATAGATGTATTAAAATTAAAGTTATCCTTTACACCCTGGATCATGTATTGTGAGCATCTACATGGGTATGTGTTTTTATGTTAAGCCACAGCATCCCTCCTGAGACACAGGCCGTCAACAAGGGTTCTCCAGGCATCCCAGTCCTGAGCCAAGCTGTCCCCAGGTGTGGCCCATCTTCATCTGCATGGGCATCTGCATCCATGTCTCTGCACCATGTGTTTCGTGGTCAGCCTCTGTTTTTTTTTTTTATTTCCTTGGGGTGGGGGGTGGAGTTTCCACTTGAGGGATTGTCTTGTGATGTTTGAGGCAGGTTTATGGAGTGCATGTCCTATCTATCTCCAGCGCCGCTGTAGAATCTCTTATTCTGGTGGCTGTTGCTTAGTCTGTTGCCTCAGTTGCTGATAATGTTGCATCACCACGTGTTGTGATCCTCCAGATTCGCTGGACTAACACCAACAGCAACAAGGAACGTGTTTCTATATCTGATGTTTAAATTCCACCACTCTACCCTCAAACACATTCTGGTGTCAGATATGACATGGTCTGCATTGACTAACAGAAGCTGCCTCTGTTGCATGATAAGAGTTATGATGTGAACTTACCTTGTGTATAAACAAACTTGATTATAATTCTACAGAGCAGCACAAATCTATAGCTGTTTGATTGGACTAAATTTTGAGTGTGTCAGATCTAGAGTAGATATATTACAATGCAGAAAGTTTCAATTTGAATTACTAGATTTTTAAGATGTTCTTAAAGCTGATTAAAATGGGATGTTGGCCATGTGGATGCATGCAGCTCTGAGACTTCTCAAACAACAATAAACATACTGTAGATCCCTTCATCAACCAAAATAAGACTGGTTTAATTAAAGGTTATACATGTTTTTAAGTATAAGAATACCTTTTTTTCTGATCAACATTTACTGAAGCGCCTGACTCTAAAAAGGTGAATGGAGCAAAGTTCTGTATATGGGTATCATCTGTTGGCTTAGAGGGTCAAGATGCCCTCTATCTATATGTAGAGTTCAGCAAGGGCCTCGAGGGCTAAATATTACATCTTCAAAACAAAGAAGAAAATAGACAAAAAGTCACTGACTTTATTCAGAATAGCTCATGCTGATGTGCTGATATGCTGATGCAGCTTATGCTTATGTTCTGCCATGAAATTTAGACTTTTACCAGATATTAAAATATCAGTGAGTAAATTTATCGCACCGCTCTGCTGAAACCAAAATTAATGCCACTGATAGTGTGAAATGGTTGACAGGAATGGGGAGGAAAATAATGTTTTTATTCATTCATATCATGATCAAATATCTCAAGCATGTGCCTGGCTTATATACACCCAGTTGGAAATGTAATGAGTACACCTAGCTGAAACTAATGCAGTATAATACAACAGTCCTGCAATAACTCCTCCCTTTATGAAGGATATAATGTTCAGTTTTTGTCTAGCCAGGTGTTGATTCAACTTTATGCTCATTTAGGAGGCTGCAGTTTGTGGTGCTTCATACTTAGAGGTGTGTCTATCATTTACTCTACCCTCAATGACTAATGGTTTGGACATAATACGAGAAACACCTCTCAGTATGATGCCACATGATTCAGCAGCACCACAAACTACAGCCTCCACAATAACCATACAGTTGAATCACCACCTCTCTAAAACAGGTCCAAACAAAAGCTGAACATTAATAACCTTCCCAAAGGGAGGATTTATTGCTGGACTTTTGTATTAGACTACATTAGTTTTCGCTAAGTGTAGCTACTGAGTGTACAACATGTACACAGAGTGATTGCCTCAGTAAGAAATAGATAAAAATCTAAGGAAAGAGAGGAGATTTTTATTGAGAATATTTTTTATAGAGCTGTAGAGAGGAGAAAACATTCAGTTCAAACAGGTTCTTGTGAAAAGTTATGGAAAATGAATTTCTCTGGCAGAGTGTGAGGGGTGAATTTTCTGCTCTGCCTGTAGTGAAGAGGTT